ATCAACCGCCGTAGCCCTATGAGGGTCACCGCCCATGTTTGTATGTTTGTATGTATGTATGTATGTATGTATGTATGCATGTGTATGTATGTGTACGCATGTGCATGTATGTGCATGTATGTATGTATGTATGTATGTATGCATGTATGTATGTATGTATGTATGTATGTATGTATGTATGTATATGAGGACCTCCTTAGTTAGGGTCCTTAACACAGTAATCCGTGCATTCCACAACGTTTCTGGGTTTGTTCCCAAAGTATCGAGAATGTTGTCTCATGCTGCTGCACCTCTTGCTCCCTGTGCCTCAGCATCTCCGTCCGCAAGGAAAGTGATGTCGAGGTCGTCAGCATCCATGCCAGGATCCTGGCAGCTATTCGCAGATTTCCGATCGCAGCTTATACCTGCGCAGCTGCGTCATTTAACCTAAGCCAGGTTTTAATTCTTCTAACATGTATAACCTTGAAATATACTTTGCATGATTTTGCTGTTATGAGCTGTTCAATCGTGCAGGAAAGGGGACAGGCCCGTGAATTGGGTCGACTTGTGCTGATAGTTGCCCCGTGCTGAGGCATTGTCACAAGACGAGCAGTTGCTGGCACTTTGCCTTTCGGCACGCAATTGGTGGGTGCAGGGAGGTAGGTTGAGGAAAGAGGATGTTCGTTCCTTGTGGGATCCTGTCGGGCGGTCCTTCGATGACTTCAGTGTATGCTAAGTTTTCCGTGAACTCGAATACCCTAAAGCATGAACCTGAAACCCCAAACAGGAACGAGACCAGTTCCCTGCAACAAGGTCCAAACACGGAAGAGATTTTCATCTTCGAGCTGGTTTCCGAAAAGGAGCCTTTCCCGGAGAACTGGGTTTTGGGTTCAGGGCATTCTCCGAAGTCACCTCTGCAACTGTAGATGATCGTAGTCTAAACGTCGGGGGACATTTGCAGCTGCTGGGGGTTTACTGCAAGGGCTTGTATGAGAGGCTTTTGAAATTAGGGGCATCTGATGGTTCGGCACTAGATCTGATGGGTCGGTACTACAGACCATGATTTGTCTGCAGAGCCGTACGTGTTTTGTCGCTGCCAAGAGCACAAACCTTCAACTCTAACTAAGCTGCATGCCATCTGTGGCCGTCAGAGGGCAAGAGCCGTGACTGCAGTACCAGCGAACCCACGTGCTGCAGAAGCATTCGCAGCGAGTCACAGGCCGGGTCGCTTCAGGGTTTAGGGTTTAGGGGCAGGGCAAGACAGATGCATGCACTAGGCCAACCTAGGTAGCGAATTCTAGCGCCAAGTGTAAAACACTGGCAGCGATGCAGTCATAGAAACATATTATACTGGCAGCAAAGCCGGTATGAGCACAAGCAACGTACACAACCAGGGCGAGGGCGACTTTTCTTGTCTCTGCTGCTACTGGCACCACCGCGGACCGCCACCGTCACCACCAATTCTCACATGGCCGCCGCACGATGCGGAGTTGCTCCCTGAACCTTGAAGCCTAATTACGGCCCTCAAATTGAGTCTCAACATGGAGATCCCAAACCCTAGGCCCAAACACTTAAGCTGGCGTGCCTGGAGCTTAGTATGGTCAATGTTGATTGTTGTGTTGAATGATCTGGGATGGTGTTTATCCCTCCTGATACCCTAAACCCTATAACCCTAAGACAGCTCCACCTGAAGCCGCAAACATGCTGAGCCCTAGAGGCCTGATTTTGGAATCGGGTTTGCGGGTAGGCAATCCTCCGTAAACCCTAAATCCCCACGTCCCGCCGTCCCTTAAACTGTATCCCAAACAGCTTAAATTGAATTTGAGGGCGGGCTTCACGGAGCTAGAGCTTGCCCTAGAATAGGCCCTAAACCTTTAGCTGCAAAAAGGACAACCTTTATATTGTAATCCTGATGGCCACTTGTATATTAGCCTTTTTCGTTTCCTGCGACCGTTATACTAGCTACTAGCTGTAGTATTCAGACAAACAGTCATTGTATGAGTCATCGTCAAAATCAAAATCGTATAATGGTAATGAGATCGTCATCACCATCATCATCATCATCATCATCATCATAATCTTCATCGCCATCGCGATCGTCATCGGCATCATTATCGTCATCATCTTCACCTCATAAAGCTAGCCATGGTAATACTAATAATGACAGCAATAATGATGGCAGCATGTGTTAGTATGAGTAACAGTAACAATTATTATCCAATCATCATGCAAATAATAGTCTTCACATTGATACTAATGCTAAACAACAATAACAAGAGTTACAATAACAATGATATCATCAGCCACATAACGAAGACTGTCATAACTACTCAAAACAACGGTTTCAATATAAAACCATACCAGTAGTAAGCATAGTCTCCAAGTGCATAACCATCATAGCTAATAATCATCATCAACATCATCATCAGCATGGTAGAAACAGCGTAGCAACGCAGCCTTCATAAGGATACAATTCAGCACTCATAGTTCTAGTTACCTCATGTTAACCTAAACCCTAAACCCCCCACCCTATAGCCAAACCCTAAACCCCAATTCCTTAACCCGAAACCCTAAACCCTAATTCCTGTAAACCCTAAACCCTTAAACCCTAAACCCTAATTCCTACACCCCCCAAACCCTAAACCTCTAATTCCTAAACCCGAAACCCCTGAACCCTAAACCCCGAAACCCCAAAACCTTAAACCTCTAAACCCCTAATTCCTAACTCCTAAACCCCGAAAAAGCAGAAAGAGTTTCCTCAGCAGGTCTAGACTGGTCCTGCCACGGGAGGCTGCTATCGGCCTCGGAGGATAGCTCCGGAATTGGGGGAAATTTGGGGGGTCTTTCGGTTTAGGGTATTAGGGTTTAGGGTAGTGGGGTTTAGTTTTTTTTTAGGGTTTAGGGTTTTAGGGTTTAGGGTTTTTAGGGTTTAGGGTTTAGGGTATCAGGGTTTAGGGTATCAGGGTTTAGGGTATTAGGGTTTACGGTATGGTTTTTAGGGTTTAGGGTATTAGCGTTTAGGGTTTAGGGTTTAGGGTATCAGGATTTAGGGCATTAGGGTTTAGGATATTAGCATTTAGGGTATTAGGGTTTAGGGTATTAGGGTTTTAGGGTATTAGGGTTTAGGGTATCAGGATTTGGGGGTTGTTATAAGGGTATTGGGGTTTAGAGCCCAGGGATTATAGGGTTGAGGGTTGAGGGTGGTTGTGGAATCTTACAAGCATTGCAGAGATTTGGGAGAGTGTCGGGTGTTGTTTCCGGACAAATGCAGGGTGCGTGCGGGAGAGAGGGAGAGGAAAGAGACAGGCATTTCGGAATGGCGTGCAACCACACAGCTTGAAGCAGCAGAAGTCTTCACTGCAACGCCTGGAAGCTGCTGGCTTTGGAAGACCACCCGGCGTTCTCGGTGTTCTTGGACCAAGCTATCGTAGGTCGCAGGTGCAACTCCGAAGAGCAAAGCGAAGCCCATTCCCTGGGCCCGAGATCCAGGTTTGGGGTACTTAGACATGATTTTTAATCTTTGGCTACTATAAACCCTAAGAAGCAGCTAAAATTATAATTTTTGCTAGGGTCTAAGTTCACGCAGGCCCAAGCCGCAGTGCTAGTTACTGCTAGTTGCAACTTCCACAACGAAGAGCTCTCAGCCAGAAGACGCAACATGAGGTAGAACCTCCCGGAACAACCTAAACCACAAGGCCTAGGTTCCAGGCCCTCTAAATTGTACAGCCGCAAGTTCCCTTGAAACAAGGAAACCAGGTTTTTCATTGAGGTGCAGTGCTGTTTGCTGTGATAGGATCGGACGGCTTTCGTCTGGGAGCGGTCCGGAGATGGGAGTTGGAGGCCTTTTCTGCTTGCTGCCTTAGGCCTTCACGTGGGTGAAAGTTAAGGGGGTTTAGGGTTTTGAGGTTAAGGGATGATCTTTTCAGGGGCCTAGCCCCTTGACTCGTTCTCTGAGTTTCCCTTGCTTCAACATCGCTGCCTCTGCATGAGAAAAGCGAATCAGCTTCGTTCTCAACTCTACACGTTTTGCACTGCTCAGGAGGGGCATGAGACTGACGAAATTAATCAGACCGCTGCTACTTGTGATGACTCGATCAGCAAACTATGTGTCAACCTACGGATATGCTATACTCATGAGGTCTAGGATACTGATAGGTTGCCTGCTTGGCGCCAGTGAACTTGACGTGTCCGTTTCAATACTTACTTGACGATTTCAGGTGCCTAAGTGGTAGGTTGCTAGCCAAATCTTGGAGCGTTAGGGTTATGATGCTCACTTGGGCAGCAAGGCATAATTTAATCTTCCATGTTTGTTTCTCTGTTGGTTCCATTTTGCTTCCACTCCTCTGCAGCCATGGCAACCAAAAGGGAAAAGTAAGTGGAAAGCCCAACCGGAACCACAAACGGAAGTGTAAACGGAGGGGAAATCCCAAGTGGAACTGCGAACGGAAAGAAGCGCGGTCAGGAGCGGAAACGTGCTCGGCCCACTGTAGCCGCAAATGGGCATCACAACCCTGGGTTTCCCCAGACCCCCAAAAGGATCTAAAAAATAGATCCCCTAATTTGGGACCCTAACTACTAAAGGGTACTTTATAGGAACCCCCTTAGGGGACCTATTTTTTAGATCCTTTTGGGGGTCTGGGTTGATCTAAACCCAAATTTCACATTTATGTCAGGTCTGTTAATGTGGAGCTGAAAGCTCCCCGTACGGTGCTCAGAAGCACACGAGGCCCGCCTTTCCCATCTTTACAGGGTATTCGGTTTAAGGCTGAGGGCTTTCATACTCTTGCCGCGACTATGTTTGCTTGTTTTTTCCGTAGTTTACACATCGTGTGTAGGTCTTGATTGTTGCGTCCGAACTCATCGCCTTTGTCTTCCAGACCAAAGTGGAGCACGACAGAGATGCTGTTAACCCCCCAAGATAAGAAGAATATGTTGAGAGGGTCTCTCCACCATTGTCCAATGTTAGCTATGGCTATCCATTCATCTATCCTTTCATCAAACCACCACCCACTTATCTATCTACGTAGCTTATATCTACATGCACCAGTATGTCACTTGGCCACCACTTCAACAAGAGAATTTGAGTGTTAAGCCACGCAGGCCACAAGTCTTGCGACACTTTCTATGCCATGCTTAATCGCAATTGCCAGCAATTTGCAACGGGCCTCGGTGATAGTCTGCACGTATGACCCCTGTACCATTCGAAGACTTCGCGGGTCATGTCGAGGAGTTCCTGAACTGAAGGAGAGCCTCACTGAGAGCTCTCTCTGGTCTGGCTAGGATTGGGTTTAGGGTTTAGGGTATTAAGGAATTACGAGGCGAGTGAGACAGGCCGAGCGGAGTCAACAAGAATTGCAGCCATCACACTCAGAACAACTAACCAAAACTAGCCAAGCTGCAAGCCCTTATTTCGACCGAAAGCTAACGTTGTCTCGGTAAACACAAAACAGCATAGGGTTTAAACGTACAGCTCAAAAACAAGGAGCGCTGGTAGTCTTGCTCGTCGTTGCAACGTCCCTGCGAGACTTGCGTGGGAAACCTTCCAACAAGCCCGGAGCCTTCAAGACTGGACTCTCGCAGACATTGGCTCCCTAAACCCTAAACCCTAAACCGTGACAAACCTAGGTGCGGCACTCTGCGCTGCCTGGGCTCCGGACGGCGAGCGCTTCGCTGTAGGCAGGGCAAGTCAAACAGTTACGATGAGACTGGTGGTGACGTCAACGGACGGCGGCGGCGGTTGCATAAACGGTCGCGCGATAACGATTATGATGATGACGGGGGTGGTGGTGATGAGGATGATGACGATGATGATGATTAGGATGATTAGGATGTTGTTGGTGATATTGAAAGGGTGTCTTTCAGGATGAGCGCACGACATTAGAGGGAGACTCTGCTCATTTACTTGTCTCGCGCTTTGGATTGTCGTGGTGGCAATTGCGGTCGTTCTCGATGGCGGTTATCTGGCGATGATTTGATAGCTACTGTCATGTCACTCGCATGTGTTGGCAGAACCTGCGAAATTCGAGAATATCGGGTAGCGTGACATGACAGTGAGACCTCCCCGCAGCAGGAGGATAAGTCTCATAGTAGGATTCATCCCCCTTGAAGCCCTAGACCTAACCCCAAACCCTAAACCCTAATACCCCAAACCCAAATACCCTTAACAACCCCAAGCCCTAAACCCTGATTCGCGGGAAGCAGCCCTGTGCGCAGGACTGGCCTCCAAGGACACGGCCGTGTGTCACTATGAGCCTCAGGCGTGGAATCCGAGAGATTGGAGGTCTAGGATTGAGGGTTTAGGAATTTCGGGTTTAGGGTTTTCAACTAGGATTCAGGTTTTAGGGTCAAGAGTTTAGGATTTCAGGTTTAGGGCGTAGGGTTAGAGGCCTGCGTGTAGACCCCGGGCGGCGGCTGAGCGATGTTTAGTAGTTCGGGGCGCGCGCACTGAAGCCGGGATGGCCAAGGACCAGAATGATTCGAACCGGGTTTAGGGTTTGGGGCTAAATGCGAACTAGGGTGGGCAAGCTCTCTTGAATTTGATCAGGGTTCCTCTTTGCGTTTCTCTGGTATATCCCGGGAAGAACTGATCAAGAAACATGCCTGTGACATGTCGATGCATGCATTGCACATGTGGATGCACCGGGTAAGTTATCGTGAGCCTCTGGCACCTGGGATTTGCATCCGAAGCACCATCCGCCTCGTCGCAGCTCATATGCCTGACCAAAAATAGAGGTTACTTTGCATACTGTACATGCAGTTCAGTAAAGATGGAAGGTTGCACGGTCATGCCCGATTCAAATTTAAGCGAGTTCATGAGTTTCCGCTGGTGCTGCTGGGGCGACTGCCACCACTACCGCAGGTTTGGGGGTAGGCAGTACTAGTTAACACGGCAGTACTGGTGCATTGCTATTGCCAGTTTTGCAATCACGGTTCTTAGTTCCATGGTTCCTCTTCTTGCTGAAAACTGTGCTTGCTTCTGTCTCTATGTGTGTTTGTGTCGTTGGCAGTCTCGTGATTGTCATGTCCGGTATCAAGAATGCCAGTCGCATGTGCGGCGTTCGGGTCCTACATTTTCTGGCTGCCTTTGCCCTCTTGTAATATACATGGGTCGGAATGTAAGCTTCGCGAACATTTCCCTCATGCAGCTTCGATAAGTTTTATGGTTAGGGTATCATGTGCCCCTAATTAAACCCTACACCCTAAACCCTAAAAGCCCTAAACCCTAAAGGCCCTAAACCCTAAACCCTAAACCCTAAAAACCCTAAACCCTAAACCCTACAGGGGGCCCTTCGACCGACATGCGAAAGGTCACAGCCTGGGTGGCCTCCAAGGTCGGCAAGTCCAAGGCGGCGATCACCGCCATGGCCCTCAGAGAAGTTTCTACACGTAATGTAGGGGACTTATATAATAATTTTAATAGGGTTTTGGGGCCCCTTGTGCTAATAAGAAGGCCCCTGTATCAGGGTTTAGAGGTTTAGGGTGGAGTTTTTTTGGTGTAGCACGTGACAAACGGCCCAGGCATTCTGGGTTACATCCGTTGGACCGCTCGTATTCTGCGGAGGGCACAGGTTGCAAGTAGACCCGTAGGATTCGCGAGGCTTCCGTTGCACTCATGACTCCGGACTACCCATGATCTGGAAATGACGAACAAACAGCACTGCTGAGGCGGTGGCATGGCATCACTCATCCCAGTGCGCTTGCCAGACGAGGGGTTTTGCTTTTCAGAGAGTCTTCAGAGCGTCGTAGCCTGGCTTCTATAGCAGGGTTTGGCATTTTTGCTTGACATGCAACCATGGCTCCTGGATGCTTCGGCCACCTTACGCAACGTCGCACGGCCTCCCGAAAGTCACAGTTCGCGAGCACTACCCCAGCGGGAAGACGACCACAGCGGCTTCACATGCAGCAGCTGCTGCAACAACAACAGCCACAGCAACACAACACCGGCAGTAATTAGCATTGGTGGTGCTAGCAGTAGTAGCAGTAGTAGTAGTAGTAGTAGTAGTAGTTGTTGTTGTTGTTGTTGTTGTTGTAGCAGTAATAGCACTTGCGGCAGCAAGAGTTGGGAACAACGATTAGATTGCATCGTAGCCAGCATGGCAGTAGAGTTGTCTGGAGGTATGTTGCTACAACTCTAATACTCCAAAAGCTCAAAATCTAAACTCTAAAGTCCCTAAATCCTGAGCCCCCCCAACCCCGAAATCCCAAAGCTCAAGGCCCTAATCCCAGCCTAAAGCCCCAAAATCCCCAAGCAAGCTTCCTAGAATCTTACAGGCCTAAAAGATCCCCAAACCCAACCCCTTACGCCCTGCATCAGCCAGACTTACTTGGAGATTCATGGGCGGGTTATAAGTAGGGTAGCTGTAATTATAACCCATGTTCGGGAACGTAGAACACCACTTGAAACTAATACCCTAAACCTTAAACCCGAAGGCCTATAAAACCCTTAAAGGGTACCTAAACGCCTACTGCGCTCCGAGTAGGCTTCCGGGCGGGAGGTACCTGGCTACTGGCTCGACGGACCGACATCTCAGGGCCAAGAGCTCGGTCTTTGTTCAGCTTCTAGAGTGGTTTAGGTTTCCTCAGGGTTTTAAGGTGTAGGGTTTTAAGGTTTTCAGGGTGTTTAAGGGTTTTTCTGGGTCAGGGAGCAGGGTGTCTAGGGTGGATCTAGGAATTAGGGAGGAAGGGCTGACGATTTTAAGGTGCGGGGTTACCGCGAAGGACCTGGGTTCAGACTTGCGGCTTAAGGTTTAGGATCGAACAGCTATTCTTCGCTTGTCACTTTGGGACACTTGGACCGGAAACCAGTAAACAATGTCTTATGCTTCTCCCCCAAATCTGGTTTCAATCATCGTTCCTGTCAAGTTACCCCGATGCTGCTAAGGTCTATGACGTCACTGTCACTGAGCAGGGGCATGGTCCAAGCTTCAATGCACTACAGGCTTCGTCGGCTGGATGTGGTCGTGCTTGTGACATGGGGTTGCTAAGTTTCGCCTTGTCGTTCAAGGTTGAGGGGCGGGCAGCGCAGTACGTCAGATTGCTGCTGCTGCTGCTGCTGCTGCTGCTAGTAATACCGACACTAGGTCCCGCCACTGCTGTTGCTTCCGCCACTTCTTGCCTACAATTCGTGTCTGCTGCCCGAGCCTTCCATGCCAGGTGACGGAGGACGCGAGCTCCTGGGTCAATGCAATTGCGCCCCAGTCTGAGTGATCCCAACGAGTTGCGTGCATGTAGAAATACAGACTCCGCACTCACTAATTCATCCCAAAGCCCTCTGCTACTACTTATTGAGATAAGGCCCCTACGCTCCTACGTACACTAGCTTTCTTCTCGAAAGTTCACGGCTTTGCTAGTAGATGATGCTCTTATAGCGTCTGTGTTTAAAGTAGGGGTTGGAGTTATTCGTAAGAGTATCCCTTTACTTGTTGCAATATAGTACAAGCAGATTTCGGAAGAGTTGGGCATGGGCTCCCCTTGTAGTCCTTCCATGTTGCTGCCATACGAAGCCTCAGAACCGTCTTCTCATTCCCAGCGGCCCATCGTTTTGCTTCGGTGAAACCCTAAACCCTATATCCTTAAATCCCTAAACCCTAAACCCTAAACCCTGAATTGTAGACTTGAGGTGGTCCGATGCTGATCAGTATGGCCCATGCCCCACGTCCCGAAACCCTAAGGCTTACTTGTTTACACACCTACGTAGGTGTGTCTACACACACACACACGTCATATTTAGTATATGTTACTGCTATAGACTACATGCTATGTGTTGTACTATGGTACTGTGTATGTTCACTATGCAATGTACATCTCATATGTTGGGTTCGGGTGTGTAAGCAGGACTTGCCGCTCTAGATCCGGATCCCAAATCACGGTTTACGTTTTGGGGTTCAGGGACCCAGCATGACCAATCCCCCAGCACTCGAGAATCCGGAAGGAAGCAACGTGAATCGTTAGAGATCTACCTATAGTCTCCATTGTAGTTCTTTTTTGTGAGCCAAATATATTATAGTATTACTATTAGTTTAGGATCCTAAGCATGAGATTGGGTAACAAAAAAGGAACTACAGTGGAGACTATAGGTAGCAACATGCTTGCCGATCTTGAGAGTTCATGATGTCAAGCACGGGGCTTCTACAAGCTTAAGGCAGGAACAGGAGCTACATCCCCAAAACCCCTAAACCTCTAAACCCTAAACCTCTAAACCCTAAACCCCCAAACCCTAAACCTCTAAACCCCTCAGCCCTACTGTCGTATCCGGGCACTTCTCGCCTCCCTTCCCTGAGGTTCAGCAAGAGCAATGTGCTTGCCTTTGCTTGCCAGATCCTCAGAAGCCTGACCCCAGTATTATAGAAGCCTAAACAGTTAGCAATCATGTTCCCTTATAGTCCTGTTAGAATTCTAGTATAACATGCACTCAAAGGCCCCAAAGTCGTGAGTGGGGTTGCTGCAGTAGGGGACTTTTCGGGTTTGCGGGTTCCGGGCTGGCATTTCATTGAGCTAGAACCCTTTACCCGAATATAGGGGGCCTGAATAATTCCCAACACTATTTTGGGGGTTCCCCCAAAAAAAAAGTATAATATACCCCAAAACCATATTCCAATTATTAAGGCCCCTAGATTACACCCTAAACCGCTTCGAGAGCCTGGTCCGTCGTCGCGCCAGCTGTGTTCCTGGACCTGCATTGCTAGCAAAAAGAGATCCGAGATTAGAGGGTTTTCCCTTACCCTCCAGGTACCTACTAGGTGGGGCCTTAGGGGCTCTATAGTACCCTATATAGTAGGTACCTGGTTTTGTTAAAGAGAAGCTGTAGTTGCTGTCGTAAAGGAGAACGCAAATCTCCAGCGTCACAGGTGCACTATAGGGGTCTGAATAGTTACTAGTAGCTAACGTATCCGTATAGCCCCTACAAGATGTTGCTCTTTGATGTACCACCCAACGCCATCTCAGCGGTTAAGGCCACATATTAGGAACACCAGCTTATGTGCTCCAGGTCAGGATGCGACTGTTCGCTTCAAGTCGCTCGCCGGTGGCCCCGATGCTGCCGTAGAGGTGGTCAGGCCAGGACACCAGATCGGGCCGAGCTGGGCTTCTCAGAAAGAATTGATAAAGATATGGGTTTAGGGTTTAGGGCTTCTCAGAAAGAAGTGATAAAGATATTCTATTCGGGTTTAGGGTTTAGGGTTTAGGGCTTCTGAGAAAGAATTGATAAAGATATTCTATTAGGGATCCGAGCATCGAAGGTTGATTTCTGAATCTCGCAGCTCGAGATTCCAGTTAATCTTGAAGATGTGTGGTCCAGGTCAAGCTATTGTTCAAGTCGTTGTTGTTGTTGTCGTTGTTGTTGTTGTTGTTGTTGTTGTTGTTGTTGTTGTTTCCGACTTCGGTTCTCGCGTTTATGGCTTCGAACCAAGGTTGGGCTAACATCGGACGGTGCTTTGAAAGAAGAAGTGGGGAGCAGGGTATGGCTTCATAGCTTCATGATTTTCCGGTTGCCGTCTCCGGGGTCACCTAAAAGCCATGGACCCGAGTCGTAGAATCGTAAATCCCCACTCCGCAGACCCAGCAATAGGCCTCAAGTAACCCAGCAGATGTCAGCAAGGCACCCGAACTTCTGAAACCATCCTAAATAGATATGACCCCATTCATGTGTTTAGCCATCATACCAGTTATCTACCTATTGTGTCTGAAATAGACACCTGACCTAAGGTTTATGTACTTCCTGATTCATTGCTTAACATCAACAGCCCAATCAGTAGCTACACTGCAGCTACATAATGTATGCATGCCTGTGTACATATACGTCTCTCGGAGTGGATGTATGTATGTAAGTATGTATGCATGCATGCATGCATGCATGCATGTATGTATGTATGTATGTATGTATGTATGTATGTATTTGTATAGGTAGTTATGTATGAATGCATGTATGTATGCTTGCTTCCAGAAATGGTGTCGATCAACCGCTACACCCACGGGGCGCGCCGGTCAAATGGTCTTGTGAGCTGGCGTTATTGACCGCGAGTGCATCTTTCCACAAACATGGCCCATGTGGATGATCAGAAGCTTTATCCAGTGTACGCCAATGTCTATGACGTGACACCGCGCGATGCTGTTAAAATGTTCAATGCAGTTTTCGCGCACTGGTGGGCGCCAGCGAAGTTGGGTGACGTTTTTCACGTGGGAGTGCCGGTCGGCAGCACAGAGTGGGCTTTTGGGAAAACAGTTAGCACGACAAAGCCCGGTGTGTTTGGAATCCCACCGCGACAGGACACCCTGCACAGCTATGGGGAGAACGGTCTTCTTAGGTCACACAAAGCTGTCCCAGACGGAGTACAACGCCATGATGAGGGACAGTGTCGAGGATTACCCTGGTAAGTCGTCCTACGATGTCCTCCAACGCGATTATTGCGTTGGAGGACATCGTAGGACGTTGTATCCACTTCGCAGAGGACTTCTGCCACCGCTTGAAGGTGAAAGCCCTCCCATAGTGGATCAATAATTGGTCAATAGATTCGCAAGAATCGAGAGCTCCATGACTGAACATGCAAGCCAAGCAGCGATCTGGCTCAGTTCTTTCGCATCGTACTGGTCAGGACAGTCGACACAGAGATTCTCCATCCCGGAAGTATTGCCTGTGACTGCTACGATGGCGGTGGCACCTCTGTGAGTGACCAAAGTTACACCCTCTGGAGTTTAGCCGACTTAGCTCCCACACTGCTGATAATGCATCAACGCCAGCTGGTGCTGTCTCGTAATTCATGGTGGGTTAGGCATGCGCACGCAAGCCACATTCACGACCCGTCGGTGCACAAGATCATGGCGTTCACCCTCCGCCTTGTGAAACATCGATTGCTATGCATGGCGTCATCTTGCCACTTGCCCCTCATGATTGTACATGGACGTCGTGGCTTCTGCGGTTGCTCGGACAATTTCTGGGTCAATAGGGACCGCCCTGAAGCTTCAACCTTTACAGTCCATAAGAGTTCGAGGGCCTGGAGAGTATGTATTATATGTATCAAACATCATCTATATATATATATATAGATATAGATATGTGTACATAGATACACAAATTTTCTATACAGCCTTAGGATGAGCAAGGAAAGGTCTTTCAGGCCCAAAAGGATCCACCCCTGTTCCTGGGCCCTTGGCCTAAGCCGGAGGTGGAAGAGTTTGCCTTTCCTTGACTTGGCCTTCGTTGGTCGGACAGAGTTGAAAGCTCAGGCTACGCCTTGCCGTATCTTCTTCCGACCTCGGGTTCTGTTCAATGCAGAGTGAGCGGGGAGCATATCTATGTGTGCATCTAGACTCGCGGTACACACAGCTTAGGACTCAGATGACGGCGCATGGACGTCAATATCGCCCATTGGTTTAAGGAGCCCTAAGCCGTAGTATTCGCAACTCGTTACATTTTTTTTCAGGCCCCGAAGTTCGCCATCTCCAGACTGAGGTTGGTGGCATGTGGCTTCGACTATGTTCCTGTGCTCTTCAGTCACAAAGATGGCTGCTGGCAGGCCCCGGGCATTTTCCCAGCCGGTCGGGCCGATTGGGCTTAATGTAGGGGATCCAGCTGAAAGCTTGCTTATCTACCTGTTTTGATGCATTCCTTCCCTCCTTCCAGCTCTTCTGCCCGGCAAAGCATAAAACCCCAAATCCTAAATCCCTAAACCCCTAAACCTTAAGCAAACCTTAGAAGCCCTATGAACCCTAAACCTTAAAAGTTAAAACACCGGCATAAACCCCTAAAAGCCCCTACGCCCTAAACCTTGGGAAAAAAGTTTTCTTAAAGGGTTCCTTCAAGCTCCTTTCAGGGTGCCCTTGACAAAAGTATGTAGAACCATAGCCTTTTATGGGTGTTGGGCCATTGTTTTACCTACTTTTGGGGGTTCAGGTTTGAAGGAACCAAGCAAGCTCAGCCTTGGCAGGCAATCGGAAGCTTGGACTCGAGACTCGCATCGCCGTCATGGTTTCCCTTTTGAGCGTTTTTAGGTTTTTCGGGTTATGGGTTGGGGGATTTTAGGGTTTAGGCTTCGTTTGCAGGGATCCGGTAAGCTCGGACGGAGCCCCTAACGCCGTAGACTTCCCTAAGTCCCATGAACCTTAGACCCTGTAAATATCCTAAGCCCTATGAGCCCTAAACCCACAGCCCAGAACTGTTTTCCGCCGTCTCAACCTTTCAACTGCCAGGGGGGTCCAACAGCCGGGCCGGCGCCGCCCACAGAGGATTCAATGTGCGTGAACGGTCAGCGAATAAGTAGCTCTTCAGTCAGCATCCTCGTTTCGGATCCCGCATAGTACGTCACCATGTAATAGTGATTCTCTAAGTTAACGAACGCGCCAAGTAATTGCTTGATAACGTCAGCTGCTGAGGGCACGGGCAGCGAGTCCTTCGACGAAGCACGGCGGCGCCGGGGCCTTACATCAAAAGCTCGGGCCACCCTTCGAGATCCGAGAGGATGAAACATCGTTTTTGTTTTGTAATCTTGGATGTTTTGGAGTCCAATGTAATTAGAGCTGAAAAGCATCCGCAAGTGGAGGACGGGTTCTCTTCCCCGTGAGTATGCGCTGAGGGATCTTCGTACCTGGTAAGGCGATACCTACCACAGGGCTTGGAATAACTTGTCACGAGTTTGCCATAGCATACCCCGAGAGCCTAGTCTAAAAATCCTAGGGAGCCCATGTTATATATCGCGCCTCTTTTTCCTTGGAACTTCCTACAAAATGAAGAGTTCCTTTTTGGTTCTGTCTTTGGGGATGGGTTTGCATACTATACGTAAGTCCGTATGTGTTTATGAACAAACAAATAAGTATAGCCACACACACACACACACATTCGTATTATATATATATATACACGTACACACATGTATGTATATATGTATGTA